AAAAAAAATCCGTTGTTTAAAGGAAAAATCTCAATAGCAAAAATATCACCAACTCAATGTACGACATCCCTATTTTCCGACCTGTGATATGTGAAAAACTGAGCAATTGATTTTTTTCAAACTTTGCGTACCTTAGGGGTAAGAAATCTCTGACCGGCACTATGCTGCGAGATTGTGTCGTACATGGTTGAATCGATTGGTGTGTATGATTGAATTACAGTGACCACAAAGTGCGACAGTAAAAGAAGATGGCGACGACAATCAGTGTGGGTAACCCTGAAATTTAAGAGATTTGGAACGCCCTAAACGTTTGCCAGTGATTTGTCCAAACAATCAGATAACTTAATTTGTGGAGAAAAGGGATCCGTACAAGGTTTGCACATTGCTTACTCAGAATGTGTGGGGTATTTAAAACGGCCCAAAAGTGATCTTTATTTATTGGGCCATTCTTCTTCAGTAGAACAAATAGGTGTGTTATAAGTAATTGGTGTTGCTAATTTTAGGTTGTAGAAATCAGTTTCGTTTACCATTTTTGGTGTGTTCTATAAATAGACCCGAATCTTTATTATTCTAATAAATTGTAAATGTCTTGCGACTGTTTATTATTCAAATAAATTGTAAATGTCTTGGAGTACAATTTTTAATAAAGAGGAAACGGGTTAATTGCATTTCAATATGAATAATTATTTGAACTTTATTTATCATAAATTTAAACAACAATAAATGTTCCCTTAAATGGTGGGTTTATTCAATTAAGTTTTATTCATCCATTTTATTTTACCTTCCATATAACCATATTCCTAATAAACATTAAATTTGCTTATATGATTTTATATAATCATCTTTACTGTTTCGCCGCAATAGTCGATGTTACATGGCAGTTTCTTGTTCTCTTATAACTTCCTTCATTATTCAAGCAGACATTGTGGTCTGCCGATTAATTTATAAAATCTTCCTCGAATACAACAAAATAAGGCTAAATGTGAATTTGTCACATGATTGCTCATTATAATCATCGAAATAATTTGTCATTTCCAATCATTAAGATACAATTTTCTTTATGGATGCATGAATGATACATTTTATCAAACAACAATCTTTAAATCTGTTTCTTATTTTTCCAAATATTAAATAACTCGTCATGAACAAAAGAGTATGATAGTTGATCCCCAAACATCACGAGTTTAAATTACACCAATACTTTAGCAGCTGACATGAACTAAAGTAAGGATTTGCTACACCAAACTGAGGAAAATAAGGATCTGACATTAAAACAATGTTTAACATTTCGGAATGAAGTGCAACTTCAAATGGGTGAATGTATTAAAAGTAGTGATTTATGACATAAGTAAGTTACCAACATGATCCTAAAGAGCTGGCTGAAAGGAATAAAATAAAGGGCCATTTAGGTAACCTTTGTCGTTAACACATATGGTATCAAAACAACTCATCTCCTGCTCCTATAAGACATCAACTACAGATAATTAATTCATATAATTAACCTATAGAACTGGTATTAGCAACCACGTATAGTCCACATCAACACCAATATGAACGAATACATTGTTATAACATGGTTCATGTCCAAATACATTGTTTCAGAGTTTAACTTAAACACCAGGAAACTAACTTTTTGGTTTTAAGCCGACACGTGTGAGGCACTGAGGCCGAGTAGAATGTCTCATTACTGTTTGACTATAAAAAAAAGAAACCGCAAATCACAAAAGCGCACTTTATAGGTGGCTCTTTTCTTCCCTAAATAAATAATACGCCTGCACCAACAGTCCACACTCGATCACACCCTTGTAGGTATTTGCAACGTCAAACATGTTTCATGTCCCGCAGGCAGTACCAAAATTGATGATAGTAGACCTGCCAGAAATTTGATGGCTATGTGGCGCCCAGCAGTAATACTTGTTAATCCGCTACCTGAAAAATGCGAAGTGTCATTCACAAAAAACAATAAATGCATCGGCACGCAAAGAGGTAAGATACATGTTGTTTATTTATGTATAGGAATGATGACCTAACCAACAAAGGTATCATAAAAACCAAGCACGTAGTTAATATGTGCGCAGTACTTACAAATAAACAAATGCAAATAAAATAAAGCCATTTTTTTTTCAGAGGCATTACCATTAATTAACACACAAAGTAGGAATCACGAGGTAGGCGAAAACTGTACAGTTACAGGACACACATAATGTAACAGTAACTCGGCACACTACGTGGACAAAGGCGCGTCCTGAAGAATAGTATTTGCAGCACGAAGGACCTCTTTGTAGACGATATTTTGTGTTAAGTTCAACAATTGCACATCACCAAAAGGAGGTTTTATAAGTAGTTTCACTCAATCTGCTTTTTTTGCGCGTGAAAGAGCCACATAAAGCTGCCCATGGGAAAAAACTGGTTGCCTCAAATAGATGCCCACATAGTCTAAAGTTTGTCCCTGGGCATTATTTATTGTCATGGCAAAGCAGAGCCTCAGTGGAAACTGTTTCCGTGTATATGGAACTGGGTATTGTTCGTCAGTAGGTGGTTCAAAGGGTATTCTATGTATAAAGACATCTTTTCCAGAGAAGTCTCCAACTGCTATCTGTGCATGTATAACATTTCTGTTCATTTTTTTAATAAGCAATCGTGTGCCATTACAAAGTCCTTCAGTGGGATCTAAATTACACAGTAAAATGACGGGCGCATGGACCTTGAGCTGTAGCTTATGTTCTGGAAGGCCACTCGGCGTTAGTGAATTAATTAGGTCACCATATTCTATAGCATGTGCTGGGTTCACGACCTTATCAAAACTCAGGTATTCAACTAACTCACCTGGAAAAGTAGATATAAGATTTCTGTTCACCTCATCCACAAATACATTTTTTGTTGTTAGAATAGCTCGATTAACAGGCAAATTACAACCACCCATAGCCAATACATCAGGATAGACAAGGTCAATAAGTTCATCCAAAGAAGATTCACACAATGGATCAGACAATGCAAGGGTGAAGGTATCTTTATTAAATCATCATCAATTGTTTCTTCTGTTCCGTCACCAACCCTCAACAAAAAAAGGCGTATAAAGAGGATCTAACCGTGCTCGCATGTTTTCTACAAGATAAATTTTTTCTAAATACGGCCACACATAAGAGCTAATAATACATGCATCAACAGTATCCTTCCTAGTACCACGCTTAATAACAGGTAAGACTTGTCTAAAATCTCCACCGAAAACTATAAACTTACCCCCAAAAACATCGTCAGAACCTCAGAGATCCTTCAAAGCAAGATCAAGTGCTTCTATGGCCTCCCTTTTAGCCATTGGCGCTTCATCCCAAACAATGAGTTTGCTTTCTCTAATCAAACAACCTAGGCTACTCTGTTTACTAATGCTACACGTATGAAAATTGGACAAATCAATTGGAATTTTAAACCTAGAATGAGCCGTCCTCCCCCTCCCCGGTAATATAGATGCAGCGATACCAGATGTTGCAGTAGCCAAAGCTATGCCACCTCGAGAACGTATGGTCGCCAATAAAGACCTATAAAGAAATGATTTACCAGTTCCACCAGGGCCATCAATGAAAAAGCAGCCTTTTTTTATTGTCAATTCGCGCCATTATTATGTCGTATGCTTTTTTTTGTTCTTTATTTAGCATGGGAATAGTATTTAGTTCTTCCTCAGATACAATAATATTTCTCTCTGCATTTACTTCTCTTGTGCTATTTTCATATAACAAATTATTATTTTTTGGCATAAGATCAAAGGCCTGCAAAGTCTTACCCATTGATTCTACAAAACCGTTAATTTGAACCAACACCTTGTTCCTAATATCTTCTACAGACATTTGAGCAAATATTATAAAATCTTCAGACATAGCCTGCTCAAACTTAAGCCACAGAGCTTTAGGATTAGAGGGTCCTGAGTACACCAACAAATTAGCAAATAGGCGCTTGAGTTAATAAGGCATTTGATACTCAGCTGCCTCTTGCAAACACAATTCTTGGCTTTTATCATCCTCTAGCAAGCCGCGCATCAGCGCAGCTTCTCTAAAGGTTGCAGTCATTTTTCCATTGTAAAATTTAAGATCATCAAAGGATTTAGGACACCGTACCTTAGACAACAGGATCCTTAGATAATACCTTTCTCCTTCACTAACATGCACGAATTCCAAACGACCTATTGATTTTTTCCCCTCGCGTACTTTCCACCGCTTTTCATGTCTGCAACCAAACGAATTATTCTGGAAATTCAAGGTACGTCAAGTTCAAAGATTGGGCATACTCGTCAACACTATTCATGTAAAAAAACTCAGTGAGCATTGTTTTTCTGTTTTGAGGATTATTAACAACTTGATGTAACCTATCCTTTTTTCTGAATGATATACGCTGATAATTTTTAGGTGTATCTGTAAATGTATGACAGCTGGGTTGATTTCACCCATTCAGAACCGAAAAATGCGCCATGCAGCTTCTGGTGGAGACACCCACCTTGTTGTCCTATATTGTTCAATTTCATCTATTTCCTGAAGAGGGTTTCTAGCATCAACATGAAATGCTATCCTATCATGACCCTTGCAAATGTATTTATAGATATATTTAACTGCTTGTATCGTAGAGCACACTTCAACGTTAATGTGACAGTTAAACTTTGCAAGTAAATATGGGTTATATGGAATCACCCACCTATTGTCTAATTCATGGCCCCTGACTCTGACACGAACATTATTTTCCCTTCGCCTGTATCGAGGGTATGCATCATTAAGGAGTGTTGTTTGATCACAAAATTCTTTTGGGTAATAATTTTTGCACGTGTTCATTTTTTTCATACACGGGTTTTCCGGGTTCATTTCACCACAAGGGCCATGCAACATGTGCTTCACAACAAGATCAAATAGATGTGAATTTGTTTGCCTGTTTGGAATTTCGACGCACACAATTTTGTCATATTCATCAAGCGTATACATTTTAAATTGCGGGTGTAAAATGAGCAAAAAATGTGCATGCGGTAAACCTCTCTTTTGAAATTCAATTGTATATGTGTATGCAACAACCTCACCAAATTTGAGTTTTTTTAAAAAGGTCATTCTTCAATTCCTCAAGTTTAGCCCTAAAAATTCTGGCTATCAAATCTGGCCTGTTTTGGGATTCATCCATTCCACGCAACAATGCCTTGATTT